TAAAAAAAAAAAAAAAAATCTAAAAATTTTTAGAAACTGAAAAAAAAAAAAAAAAAAAAAAATCATGGAACTGAAAAAAACTTTAAAAAGTAGTCCAGATTAATTTTTCAGTTTTAAATCTTATTTTATTTAGTTTCAAAAATATTTTTCAGTTTAAAATATTTTTTTCCAGTTGTTTTCTTAAATAAACTTTATGTCCCTGCTGTAGCTCCATAGAAGGTTGTTTTGGCTGAATGAAGCCAGGCGTGGCGTTTCTGACGGATCCTCCATCTTGTTTCCACCCGGCAGCTGGAGAGCGCCCGTCAGTCCGCGGACAGGAGCAGCCACCTGGTCGGCGCCGCCCACGAGGAGCTGCAGCAGACCCGGATCCGCCTGGAGTCCACGTCCGCCCAGCTCAGCCAGCTGCAGAAACAGGTCCGCTCCAACAGGGCCGCAGCAAGCCATCTGGGGGCCTGGGCACAGTTTAACTCGGGGTTCCCCTCCTTACCAACCCTGCACAAACAACATAATACCAAGGATGTTTGACTAGTTTCTTATATCTTAGTACACTTGCAATAAGACGAAATTAGATTATGTTTCCTGCAACATGGGTAAATAATAACAGAGACATGACATGCCAGTGGAACTATTACTTTTTCATCTCTGTTACTGACTTAAAACAAGCACCTAAATCTGGCCAAATAGTTACTTATAAATCAGTTTTGTCTTATTTCAAGTGTACTAAGATATTTGCACCAGAAACTAAACATCTGGTAAGACTTAGTGTTTTTTGCAGTGTACGTCATACTTCTGTTACTTCTGGTTGTTGATTTTATCCTTACAGGCGTAGCAAACCAGCAAAGATGCTCTAATTAATTAGCATTTTGAAGTTCAGAGTGGTAAATAAGAATGACGTGTTAATTCAGCTATGTGAAAGTCACATCTGCAGACAAAGGCTGAATTTACAGAGAGGAAGTTAACAAGTTTGATGTCTTTTGTTTTAAAATTTAGAACAAAAAGTGTAGGTAGTGCAATCACTATAAAGTGCTCTTGGGGGCCCCCTGGTGGCTTCATCAGTCTGAATCTGTGGTGCAGCTGGCGGCCCGCGAGGCGAAGCTGAGGGAGCTGGAGGACGCCCTGTCGCGGGAGCGGGACACGACCCGCCGGCTGCTGGGGGAGAAGGACCGGGAGATGGCGGAGATGAGGCAGCGCATGCAGCAGCAGCTGGACGAGTACCAGGAGCTGCTGGACGTGAAGCTGGCTCTGGACATGGAGATCTGCGCCTACAGGAAGCTGCTGGAGGGAGAGGAGGAGAGGTAGCTTCAGCCGCCTATTATGTATTTTCCAGGCATGTTTCCATCTTACAGCACAATCCAGTAACTATATTACCTTCGGTTGTTATAGAAATTCTATACTTCTATATCAAATATGACTTAAAAGAAATCTTCAACTTACATTACCGGTGTCAGGTTGGGTTGGCTGCCTGGCATTTCCTTAAATAAAAAACACCAAAGAATTATTAAAATATGAAAAATTAAACGGAATAAAATCTGTTTTTGATTTGATTTGATTTGATTTTGAATCGATCGAGTTTCCAGGACCTTGGATTAGATTTTTTCTGTTCCTCTGATGAACGTTTGTCCTGCAGGCTGCGTCTGTCCCCCAGCCCTCCTCCCACCAGAGTGACAGGAAGCCGCTCCTCCACCTCCGTGGCCCACTCCCGCTCCATCCACGGCAGCGCTCGCAGCTCCCCGGCAAAGAGGCGCCGCCACAACGACACCGACAGCGAGGCGTCCAGCTTCGCCGGCGGAGCCGTAGCGCGCACCCGCATCACCCAGCAGGCCTCGGCCAGCGGGCGGGTCACTGTGGACGAGGTGGACCTGGATGGGAAGTTCGTCCGACTCAGCAACAAGGCGGATGAGGTGAGAGAGTGGAAAACAGCTTATGGTGTTCCTCAGGGATCCGTCCTGGCCTCCCTCTTCTTTATCGTCAACAGTCTCAATCAGCTGCATACTTTTTTAGTTTTTGGTTAACTGGTTCTGAACATTATTGCCAAAATCCAGACTGAAAGGATCTGAGCTGAAATGTTAGCAGGTTTCAGAACAAAAGCAACAGAGTGAGGACACAACAGCCAAACTGTTCCCAGGGGTTTGCTTTTTAAACAAAGAAAAACAACTCTTACTGAAAAATTCAAGATGGCAGCCATTTTTCAAGATGGAGAATATATGTTTGCACTAAAATCGGCAGTACTTATTGCCGGTGGCGAACGCAGCTAAACAAAAACTTAGGTTCACTGAACACTAATCCACTAAACAAGTACATCAACTCCGCTGACGCTAAAATGCTAAACACATATAAAAATGAGCAGAAGCTAATGCTAACCATGCAGACGTCCGCATCTTCACCTCCTTCCAGCTGACGACTGGTGTGAGACTCGCTAACAGTCCTGTTTCTGATTCTGTTGACCAAAGTAAAAACAAATAATGTGACTCAAAGTTCATCCAAGTCATGAAAATGGGGAACAATTAATGGGAATAATTGATTTAAAAGGCTTAAAAATGGCAGCCATCTTGAAAAATGATGGAAGCTTGTTTTTATTGACTCAAACAATAAAAACAGCTTTGTGCATTTTTATGCACAAAGCTGTTCCTTTGAGTCTCAGGGTTTGGAAACTCTGTGTTTGATTATGCTGCCCCCTATTGGTGGAAGTAGCTTCCAAACATCTGCTCCTCTCTGACTCCTCCTTCATGTTTTCTGTCCCGTTTGTTTGTCCGTCCTGCAGGACCAGAATCTGGGGAACTGGCAGCTGAAGCGGCAGATCGGATCCAACTCTCCGATCATCTTCAAGTTCCCGGCTAAGTTCACCCTGAAGGCCGGTCAGAGAGTCACGGTAGGCATCGTCTTTACGCTCCACCCCGACCAGCCAATCAGCTCTCAGCTGTTCTAACTGTCTGCCATGTTGGCCGGGGTCAGATCTGGGCCTCTAGCTCTGGAGGAGTCCACAACCCTCCTTCAGACCTGCTGTGGAAGACCCAGAGCTCCTGGGGAACCGGAGACCAGTTCCAGACCACCCTGATCAGCGCCAGTGGAGAGGTAGTGAAAACCAGAAGCTGCCAGGTTTTAAAGCTGCAAAGTTCATGTAAGTTCATGAAAAATGTGTTTTCCTACCAGGAGATGGCCATGAGGAAGGTAACCCGCACTCAGTTTGAAGATGAAGATGAAGACATGGTGAGAGGAACAGCTCGAACTTTTACGATGTTTCCTACCTGATAGTCCAGTAAACCCGGTTTTATTGGGACCAAATCTTCATCACCTGTTCCACCTCCAGCTGCTGTGGCTCTGAGCCAAACCAACCTGTTCCCCTCCTGGCCTGTGGGGGCGCTGCACCAAGAACCACTGAAGGAAACGACACAGAAACCTCTGAAGACACTGAGAGCAACTTCCTTCTTCACCAGATGGAAACAAGATGGAGATTTTAGCATTTGGAGGATTTATCTTTAGTCTTTGGCTAAAGACCAAAGACAATTCTCTTTCTACCGCTAGGCTAGCATGTTAGCTTTGGTTGTATTTACCCAGAATGCCCTGCGCTGTAGTCCACTTCCTGCGTTTGGAGCAGTTTCTGGTCCTCTTGGCTTTCACATATGCATTCAAATCAAACCCAGAGTTTGATTATGCAGTCACAAGAGCCATGTGCAGACCGCTTTAATCCAACTCCAGTCCATCTGTCTAGTCAAAGCCTGGTCCGGTTGGTGAGGTGTGAATGCTCATCGAATTGTTGTTCTCCAACCACTAAAATCTGACGCCTCCATCTTGTTTCCATCTGGTGAAGAAGGAAGTTGCTCTCAGTGTCTTCAGAGGTTTTTGTGTCGTTTCCTTCAGTGGTTCTTGGTGCAGCGCCCCCACAGGCCAGGAGGGGAACAGGTTGGTTTGACTCAGAGCCACAGCAGCTGGAGGAGGAGCAGATGATGGTGTTTTGAACCAAGTCTACTGAACTATTAGGTGTGAAAACAGCCTTAGAGTCAGACAATTTCTTACTCTTACTTGACCTGGTTGAATTTCCTGTCTTCTCCAGCAGGTGGCTCACAGCACCTGCGCAGACGGCGAGTACAACCTGCGCAGCCGGACCGTCCTCTGCGGCTCCTGTGGACTTCCGTCTGACAAATCCAGCAACTGCTCCGTGTCGTCTGTGTCCCGCTCGTTCCGCAGCGGAGGAATTTCCGAAGGATTGGTGCCACAGTCGTATGTGTTCAGCAGCAGCACACCTCGTAAGGTAGACGTCCGCCCATCGCTGTAATGTTCAGAGGTGTCTGGGCTTTGTTTGAGCCTTTTTTGAGCTTTGAGTTGTTCTCTCTGACCTTTTCAAACTGTGTTTTCTTCCAGACTGGATCCAGGATGGAGAGCTGTCCGATCATGTGAACACATCGACCAATGAAGAAGTTTACATTTTATCTGAGTAGTGTGTAGAAAGTATTAGCTTTTAGTTTTCTTTTTATACTTTTAACATTTTTCAGGTTGTAATAATTCTGACTTTTATATTAATTTCCATTGTGCACCCATGCATGCTTAAAGATATGACTTGACTTATGGTTAAAAGTTTAGTTTTTCCTTTAAGAAAAACTAAGAGGAAATGTTTTTGTATGTTTTTTTCCTTTTATATTCAATTCTGTTTCTGGTCTTTCAGCTTCAGTTAAATCTGACTGGTGTCATTATCAGTAACATTATTTTAGCTAAACTGGGCTACATAACTGCAGAAAATGTATTTTCCTGATATAAATAAAAATATTTTCTAAAAATTTATTTTTGAAATTTTGTTCATCTCTCTTTGTTAGCGAACCATTAAAATGTGATTTTATATAAATGGGCTCCTCACGACACTGACAAAATTAATTTGAATCTATAAAAACAAGGTTCCTGGGATATTTTTTGGTTGTTAAAAAGTTAAATCACATTTTATTTGTCAATAAAGTGACTGGAATTTAACTTTGCTTTAATATTTATTTTGTTCCAGGACAAAATAAATGTAAGGCCAGATAAGGCTAATTTTGAAGTTAGTAAACAAAATATTCAGTTATCAAGCTAAACATTTATGTTTTTTGTTTAAATGAATAATGCAGAAATTATTTTATTGTTTGATCATGAAAGAAAAATACTTTAAAATGTCCCACTTGAAGAAGATTTGTATTGAAAGTTTTGTCCTAAAGAGCTTGAAACGTGACGCATCTCGCTTGTATATTGTTTTCGCTGATCGAGCTTTTATTTTGAAATGGCAGCTTTTATTTTTTTGGTTTTGTAGTTCTGAACCCGGAAGTGTTCTGCTCGGTCGGAGCACTGCAGCTAATCTTTCGACCTGCTGATCTTCACCAGGCTGTAGGTTTTTCCAGAGTTTATTTTAAAGACTGTATAACCTGATGGTAAAATGAAAAACATATTTAATGATCGCAGATTGTTTCTGGTTATTTCATGTTTGATAAACTCAAGAGAGCAGCAGGAAGCTAACAGCTGTTAGCACCTGAAGATTAACAAACAGGAAACTAGAGTTTACAGAAGTTATGTGAAATAAAATGGACAAAGTACGTTTTCATGGATAAAATTATTACATTTGATATAAAGTTTATTCTCCTCAATTTTTCTGTATGTGTGAATTTTTTAAACCTGGACTCTTGTAGCAGCTTGACGTCATTATCATTTATTATCACTATCATTTCCAAAATATTTTTATTTTCAAATTAAAAAACTTGATTTATTTTATATTTTTGGATATACTTAAGCAAAAAATACATCAGAATATATTAAGAAATCTCAGTGTTTTTCTGTTTGTTAAATTGCTTGTTTTGAAATCTGTTGTTTATATTTAGCAAAACAGTTGACAAAGTTTTATTAATATTTCTGTTTTAGTATTTCTTTAATTTCTAACACAGCATGCCTGATTTTTTATTTTTTTTTTACCTTATCCTTATTAATGTATTAGGGTTTTATAGGATTTATTTTACCTTTCCAAGTTAATTTGTCATTTTCTGTAATTAAAAAGAAGGCACAAACTGTTTATGCATATATTTAAAGATATATCCATTTTTATTTTTTATTTTGGATAAATTATGTCGTTTTGAAATGTGTTGTAATTAGCAAAATCATTTGACAAAAATGTCTTATTCAGCACTTCCTTAATTTATTTTTGCTTTTATTTATTTAGTTTTTGTAGCAGTTTGTTTTTGTGTTTCAGAATCTGTTTCACAGTATATCTATTTTTTTTTTATTTATTTTGGGTGAATTAGAAAAATGTGAGCCAAACCTTGTGCATGTGAGCATTTGTAGATTTTTCCACATGGTTCCACAGCTGCTGCTTTCTGTGTTTTATTTATTTAAAATAATAAAGCATGGATTCTGAATTTAGAGAGAAACTCTGGTGTTTTATCGGTGTTCACCAGCCTGTCTGTTTTCTTCCCAGGAATCCGTCTCTGGATGCTGAACGTCCGCGCTCTGCTGGGGATCGGCTTCCTGGTGACCTCGCGACCTTGCGCGGCCTCTCTCGCTCAGGCGGGGTCATGCTCTGTGTCTGCTGCAGCTGACCGCCACAGGAGCCACTGTTTGACGGGCAGAGCGGCGTCTACGATGGCCCACGCCGTCAGACATCTCGGGTGAGTTCTCAGAGAGTGTGTGGGCTAAAGACCCGGGTGTGTGAGGCGAATCTGAGCTCTGGACTCGCTGCAGGCAGGAGGAGGCCCAGAAGATCGACGAGGAGCTGTTCAGCGAGTACGGCTTCAGCGTGGATCAGCTGATGGAACTGGCCGGACTCAGCTGTGCCACGGCCGTCACACGGGTCAGAACCTTCACAGGAACACGCAGGAGATCCGGGTTTTCAGCTGCTTCAGGCAGGAAGCGTCAGCATTTCAGAATAAAAGCCCCTCATTTCCACCTGACTCCACTCCCCCTTCAGGAGGAATTTCAGGATGACGGCCATTTTACAAGATGGACGCCGTTTTTGAGCCTTTTAAACTAATTGCTACCATAAAATGCTTCCCATTTTCATGACTTTTGGTCGTCCTGTTCAAACAACTTTAAAGTGACGAAATGCAGCAGAGCCAGAAGCTGAAGACTTTGCAGTTAGAAAGTTTCACACCAAATGTCAGACTGAGAGTCAGTCATCTTATTGGTTAGCATCTAATTTTTATTGTTTAGCATTAGCTAATCCACTCATTTTTTTGTGTAGCAGTCTAACGTTAACTTCTGCTAAATTAGTTTGTTTAGCGGTTTAGGGTTAGCTTCAGTTTTTTATGTTTATTGGTTTAGCAATAGCTTCCACAAATTGTTTTTGTTTAGCGTTAGCATCTGCTAATATGTTTTTGTGTTAAGCAGTTTAGTGCTAGCAGAGCTAAGAGTTTTGTTTATTGAATTAGCTGTTAGTGAACCTAAGCTGCCGGTTAGCTGTGGCTAATAACTACTGCTAATTTTAGTGCCAATATATATTCTCCATTATAACCAAGGCGGCCATTTTGAAAAATGTCTACTTGGAAAAAGTAAACACAAGATCTAAAAATATATATGATTACTAAAAATGTGTAGGTTATGATTTGACACCAAACACTTTCAGTAAATATGATTTATATGGCTTCAGTTATTTATGATTTGACACCAGAAGTATTCATCTGTGATCAGTTTTCAAATTTAGGCAAAAACAAATCTTCCTTGACGGCCTCCTTGAAAACTGGCTGCCATTTTGAATCTTTCTTTGGCTAAGGTTTTTATTTTTAGGGTCTTATATTCACATGTGAAGGATTTTGCTGAAATATTACATTTTGTGCAGCTCCGTCAGCGTTCAGGGTCCAGTTCAGCTCTCTGTCTTGGCCCAGTTAGGATACTGGTTTAACTGGGTTTGACCAGATCGACTGGAATCCGCCTCTGCCTGTTTGGGTTTGGTGGTTTAAGGTTTCTGCGGTCGTTTCCAGGTTCTGCAGAGACGGTTTTCTGCCTGATGAACCGAGGTCGTTTGGTCTGGTGGAACGGACAGCGTCCTCCATTTTGTCTCAGGTTCTTGACCTTTGCCCCCTGCAGGCGTACCCGCTGTCCTCTCTGGTCAAAGCCAGACCGTCTCTGCTGGTGATCTGTGGACCAGGAAACAACGGCGGCGACGGGCTGGTCTGCGCCCGACACCTCAAGCTATTTGTGAGTCAGTTTTCCTTCCATGCGTGTTTTTGTCCAGATGATGTTTGGGTTTCCTGAGTCGTTTCGCGCCGCAGGGTTACGAGCCGACCGTCCTGTACCCGAAGCGGCCCAGCAAGCCGCTGTTCCAGGGTCTGACCACGCAGTGCGAGAAGATGGAGATCCCCTTCCTGACGGAGATGCCTGAGGTTGGGTCTTCATCGCTTTGGGCCGTCTGACGCGGAGCGACACGGATCTCTGACTCTGCTTCGTCTCTCAGGCGGAAGTGATCGATGAGGCGTACAACCTGGTGATCGACGCCATCTTTGGCTTCAGCTTTAAGGGCGCCGTGCGGGAACCGTTCGGTTCCATCCTGGACGTTCTGAAGAAGACCACGGTTCCTGTCGCCAGCATCGACATCCCATCAGGTCAGGACTACAAACGTAGAGTCAGTCACAGCTTCCTGATTGGCTGACGGAGAAAAATAAAACTGCTTTATATTAGAAGTTACAAAAAAGTGGAAATAAGAGCTGAATGAAACGTCTGAAGAGTTTGATTACATATTTACACCAGCTGTTCCAACTCCAGTCTGCTTGTCTAGTCAAAGTTCGGTTCGGTTTGTGAGATGTGAACGCTAACCGACCTCTGACCTTTGGTTATCCAACCCTCGGTCTGGGTTTGGTTGAAGTGAAGTCTGGTTCGGTTTGAATGTGAACGCCAAGTGGACCAGAGACGGCTCCAAAAACAGGAAGTGGACCAGAGCGCAGGGCATTCTGGGTATATGCAACCAAAGCTAATGTGCTAGCTTAGCGCTAGCAGCAGAAATGGCTCCTGGTCTTTAGCCTAAAGAGAAATCCTCCATTCTCTAAAATCTGACGCCTCCATCTTGTTTCCATCTGGTGAAGAAGGAAGTTGCTCTCAGTGCCTTCAGAGGTTCTTGGTGCAGCGCCCCCACAGGCCAGGAGGGGAACAGGTTGGTTTGACTCAGAGCCACAGCAGCTGGAGGAGGAGCAGATGTTCTGGTTCCAGTAGAACCGGGTCGACCGGACCCAAGATTAGCGTTGCTCTGGACGAAAACTTTCCATCTGAACTAAAAATAAACTCAGAAGAAATTCATGTAATTAGACTTTATTTACATGTTTTAGTGTTTGAATCTTTATCAGGTTCTGATCCTGGTTCTGTCCGTTTGTTCAGGTTGGGATGTGGAGCAGGGCAGCGCCGACGGCCTGCAGCCCGACATGCTCATCTCTCTGACCGCGCCGAAGAAATCCGCCTCCCTGTTCCGAGGCCGGTACCACTTCCTGGGAGGACGCTTCGTCCCGCCCGCCCTGGAGAAGAAGTACCAGCTCCACCTGCCTCCGTATCCCGGCACAGACTGCGTCTTACAGCTATGAGCTGAAAAACTCCTGATCCGTTTTGGCTGTTTTGCCTCCTGTGATCCAGAAGTTTCTCCTCCAGATCAGCAGTTCTTTGGTTCTGGTTGCTCCTCCTCAGTTTCAGGCTCTCTTGTTGCTCCTGGGGCGAATAAAGCTTCCCTGAACGCTTCCTGGTTGTTGAGTGTTTAGCGCCCTCTACAGTTAAAATCACACAACTCCAGTTCTGCATCTTTGCTTCACATATCAGCACTTTATGATCAGCATCAGAAAAAATAACTTTTTTGTGGTGTGAAATTGTTTGAATCTTAAAATATTCAACATAAAAAACTAAAGCGACACCAAAAAATGAGACAAGTTAAACATTCTGGCTGCAGTAATAAAACTAACAGAGACAGAAGAACTGGACCCGACCTTAGGTTCTTATCACGTTTAATTATATCAAGTGTAGAACTATGAGTTAGTGTAGGGGCGCTGTTTGTAAAGTTACACAGTTAAAAAATAACAGCAATAATTTGAGTTATTTAGTCAGGAAGAAAAATGGAGGTTAATTTTTTAATGTCATGTTTTCACCATTTTATTTGTACATGTCAGGTTTGAACCAATTTTATATGAGGAAGTTAAATATTTAGCTCAATTTATTAATTAATGGAGCTAAATTTAACTTGGAGCTAAATATTTAACAAGCTAAATATTCACTATGAAGGAAAATATTTAGGTCCAAACATTTAGTTAGCAGGCTAACCAGTTAGATCTAAATTAAATGGTTTGGAGCTACATGTTTACTTCGCTAGCTAATTATCTAGCTTAGCTTGAAGCTACATTTAGCTTAAACTGTCTTTTTGCTGAAATGTGCTTTTCAAATAAACTTTACTGACTAAATATTTAGCTTGCTAACATATTTAGTTTGAAACTGACATTTTTAACGTATGAATTATATGTTGAAGATATGAATTTAAAAAATAAAGACCCATTTTATCCAGTTATAAGAGGCTAAATAACCCACATTATTGCTGTTAATCTTTACCTTCACTAACATCAGCCCATAAAAGTGGAAGTAGAGTTCATAAATCAGTGATTATCCATACAGAACCTGTCTGAGGTGCGGCTCCTTCGTCTCTCCGCTGCTGGTTCAGTAAAAACTCTGCAGTGACTACATATGGACCTGGATACGTTAATGCATAATGGTTTCTGATACGACATGCTTCAACAAGACTATGTACAGTTCTGGTTCCATGCTGTCAGCGGACGGCCGGGTCCAGTTCAGCTCGTCCAGAAGAGGCTGGCGATGAAGAGGAGGGTTCTGGCCAGGATGTCGTCATGCAGGTCGGCGCTTGGAGGGAAGTTTTCAGTCTGGGAAGGAAACCTGGCGACAAAAACACCAGAGGGACCAACGACCAGAAAACCAGACAAAACGTCGTCAAAAGAGCAGCGAGGAGCTCAAACCTGGTGTTTTTACCAACAACCATAACATTCACTGTGGTAGAAATAAAACACCACTAAGCATTACATAAATCCATTCCTAACTTTAAACAGAGGAAGAATCATTTAATATTGTTTTAGAAGTTTTTATGTTTTCTGATTTTAAGCTGATGGTTTTTTTTTTTTTAAACATTTGCAGTTTAATGTTCTGCTGTAAATTACATTTTTTTTAATGTCCTGCTAACATCTTGAATCATTTTGGTTGTTTGTGTTGGTTTCAATCTTTTTGGTTTAGTTTGTTTTTCTGTATACATTTTGAAAACGTAAAGTAAACGTCATGGTACCTTTTTGATGTTGATTTTATATGTTTATATTAATAATATATTTTTAAAAACCGATATCACAGCATAAACATTTTACACTCTAGTATTATATCGCCACCTGCAGGCCTGGCGTAGTCACTGCCGCGTTTCGGGAAGTTTCAGTCGACTTCTGGCTGTTATATAGAAAACATACAGCTTTTTTTAGATTAATTAGAAAACAGGTTTGAAAAACACGTTTTGTAGAGAAAAGGTTGTAAAATAACAGGTGTGTGAAACGTGACTCCTAGAATCAGTTCAGGTCATTTAATTTTATTAACTAAGTCTGAAATAGTTAAGATTAGAAAATGTCAGTAAAAAGCATGGCTTCATTGAATATAAATTTAAAAAATGATGGGCATAAACAATTTTTTTATAGGAAAATATTTTTTCATGAAGTTGCAAAAAAAGGCTAACCATCAGTTGCTCCGTTAATAGTTACATTTTTATATTCATTTCTTGTTTTTACCTAATATGTACTTGAGACATTTTTTTGTTTTCTTTGAGGAAACAAAGTTAAACTGTTTTAATCAGTAAACAGAGAAAATATATTCTTTATGTGATGCAGAAACATTTTGCTCTCAGAACATAAGAAATCCTGAAGTTTGCATCATGTTCAACTTTTTGTATCGTTCTGAAAATCTTCAGTATTTTGTGTTTGATGATGAGAAATGTTTCAGCTCGATGTCTCACCTGTGCTATTCTCCGACCTGCACACCTGCACAGTTGTCTTTGCTCTCCGAAGCTATCGCTAAATATTCAGCGTTCCTGCAGGGAAAACAGGAGAAACAAACCGTCAGATGTCAGGAAGACGAACCAGAGAACAGGTGAGAAACGAAGCTTCCAGGTTTCACACAAACTATTCCTGACATGTCTAGTGGAAAAAATTTATTTAAATTCTGGTCAGTTTTTGCAAAAAATCACCCAAAATTAAACAAAAATGTTTTTTCTTTACAACTTGTAGATTTTTCAGAAACTTTTTTATATAAAATATTAGAAATTCATAAAAAAATGCAAATTAACAATTGAAATTATTTTTTAAATAAGAATTTTTTTTTGGCTGAAATGCAAAAACACAACATTCCTTTTGTGAATGTTTGATCATATGTGGAAATCTGTTGATCTGGTGATTATTTATTTGATTAAGTAATTAATAATTGGATAGTAAAAGGTGATTGATGGGAGATTTTTTGCTGATTCTTTACCAGTTGAAGCTAAAACAGATTTACAGATAAATAATGTTTTCTTAAATACTCCTATTAAATAATCAGGACTGATTTGTTACCATGGTTACCACCTGGCAACAGTTTAACCTTTTGTGCTTTTAAGCTAATTAAACCAAAACGTGTTAAACTGTCAGAGCGGATTTAATCCGGATTGAAGTGCGGAGGCAGGAGGACTCACGCCGCCTCTCGAAGCGCTTCCTCCCCGGCCGCAGCGATCTTTCTGTAGCAGTAGATCATCTCTATGAGGAGCCAGAGCTGCAGCCCGATGATGGACACGTACATCATGACCTCTGACACGATGGACGCTGTGCCTCTGGTGGCTGCAGGCAGGAAGCACAGAAACCTCAGCAGGAAACGGGATTTACAGGCGGTGAGGGTGAAACTGCACACAATTTGATTTTTCGCTAGTTTAATATCTTTGGCATTGTTTCAGGTTCAGATCTGATATTCCACCCGTCATCATTGGAAATGTGAAATCTACCAAAATAGATGAGCTAACAATGCTAACACGGATCGGGAGAGCTGCTTGATGCTAGCAAAACATGCTAACTCCGGTTAGCACTGCAAGACTTTCAATGACTAATTATAAGCATTATTTCCGTTAAAATGACGCTTCCTTCGTTTTCAACTGAAATGTTGTCCAGGAAAAGAATCGGTGATTTGAAAGCAGGAGTTCATAAAGGGGTGTGGAGGCTTTTATTTTGGTAGTCCACTTCCAGTTGTCGGCAAGTGAATTCGCACATTAATTAATTTGCACGTCAAACTAATAACTAACCCTTGGCATCTAACGTAAATATTTATTGAAAGAAAACAATGGTAGTCCACTTCCGGTTATTGGTACGTTAATTTGAATATCAGCTAAATGTTTAGCTTTGACCTAAATATTATAGCTTTGAAGAAAATAATTGGCTATTTATTTATTAATTTCGTAGCTAAAACTTTAGCCTGTAAGCTAAATACTTAGCTTCCTAACAGAATTTAGTTTAGTTTCAGTTATTTAGTTTGACATTTATAAACATGGCTGACTGGCCATCGGCGCACCGGGACCTGGCTGCTGGTTGCGCTTTGGTTATCCTGAAAAGTGCAAACCTGCAAAGATTTTCTGTGAAAATTTTATTTCACTAAAATGTTGGTAAAAAATCATAATGGAAGTTATTTTGAGAATTGTAAAAAACACTTCTCATAACATTAACAGCAACATTAATACTTTGTCAGATTTTGTTTTCCAGTTGTATTCATCTGTGACCCTAAAGGTGCGCATAGATCTGTGGCTCCTGTAGAAACATTTGGGTTTGTTTTTACGCCACTGATTGGTTGCTGCTGTTAGCAGCTGATAGCTTTGCTCCTCCCTGATTCTCCAAACTGAAGTTCCTCTGTGCTGCAGGGAAATCGACATCCCTCTGAGTGAAAACGTACGATGTGTTTTCTGAATCAGCACAAGCCCAGCTAAAGTGGGAAATGCTTGCAGTCCGCTTGCTGACACAGGGAAACAAGCTGCTGATCAAGCTTCGCTCGAATCTGCGTCCATTAGGACAGATGCTTTTTACGCTGCACCCCTAAAGAAGGGGCGTCCAAACATTTTGCCACAGGAGCCAAGTTGAAACTCCGCCAGGTCAATAATTTTCCATTTCCCTGAAGTAGAGGAGTCACTGGATGAAAACGGGAATGCTAACATTGCTAATACTCTCTCCATTGCAAGAGGATTTTTAAAAGGTCTAACCACTTCTTTAACCACCTGCAGACGTTTAGGGGCCCCACAAAATCATTCCGACGGTCGCAAATGGCACCCGGACCGCTCTTTGGACACTCCTCCCCACAGTGACAGACAGGGGTGGACACTGCTAAATAAAAAATGCTAGCTGTGCTAAAGTGCTATGTCGACATGGTATTTAGCAGAAGCTAATGCTAACTTCAAGCATGGATCAAGCATTTATATAAATGCTAAATATTTAGCTTGGAGTTAAATAATTATTGTGAAACTAAATATTTTGGTAATGCACATCCAGTTGTCAGAAAGTTAATTTGCATATTAGCTAAATATTTAGCTAATATTTAATGTTTAGGCTGAAGCTAAAAATGTAGCTGGTAAGCGCTAACTTTGAACCATGTGAACAAAAAGCCTCTCAAAACAATTCATTTATATGAACTTTTGTATTTTAGTTTTG